GGGGGGGGGAGGGGCGTGGCATTGTGGGCTGGATGAAAGTGCCTGGCAGGCTGGATGTGGCCAGCGGGCCGTATTTTGCCCACCCCCAAGTGAGACCCTAGAGGCAAACCCTTATTTTTTTTCTCCTTTTCATATGAGTTTTAAGGAAACTAATAGGTTGCAGGTACTTTGTTCCCAGTTCTTCAAATATGCATTAAAGCTCTACATGAAAATAAAGACTGAACAGGCGTAACGTTGGTAAGAAGTTGGAAAAAGACCATACATTAGGGCGTGCAGACCCTGCTGTGCCTCAGCAAATGCACAGTTGTATGTATTGCCATGGCAGCGGGATGAAATGTGTTGGCATCACTCCATGAGTGTTTTAGTATGGATTATTTATAGTATCTCTGACATCTGTTGTTTTCCTTCTGCTTTGGCTGTCATACATTTCCACTGATAGCATGCTGATTTGCTTCTGATGGTACGTTGTTCAGACTTTTCCACGGTTTGTTATGGAGAATAGTTATTACATCTGTAATGTCTGTTTTGAAAGTAATTGTTGTAGACTTTTTTCTGTTAATTTGTGACACTTTTTGTTTTATAATATTTTCAGCTGCATCAGGAAGCAGTAACAACACATTAAAAGGTGTTTCAGTTAAGTCACCTACTCAAGGTCTCAGACTTGGCCTCTCTAGATTGGCACGAGTCAAACCACTGCACCCAAGTGCTGCCAGCAGTTGAATGATCTGTGATGGATGAAGGATAACATTTTGAAAGACCTGACTGTTTTATTTTAAACCCAAAGGTTTAAAACCAGGAAGCAATAAGTTCCTCATTAAATTTTCCTTCACAAGAGGAAAATGCTGTTAATGTATATGTCTGTTCCTTATAAAGGGCTCTCATCCTGAAAGGTGCTAGATACCCTTAACTTTTATTAAATAATAATATTTAGTTGAGGAGACCTCAGGGTAATTAGTGACTTGATAGAGCCCAATAAAATGGATTATGTATATATGATTGTAATCATCTAATGCCTAGTCTCTTTTTTAAAAAATGATAAGTATTACATGTTTTAAATGGCAAAGCAGAGTAAACAGTAGTATATCAGTTATGAACCATTATAAACAATATGAATTCTTAAGAAACACTGGAAGTCATAATTGAAATAAGTGTTTGATAAGGGGAAATCATTGTCTTCCACCCTTCTCACCACTGGGCCCAGACTAGAAAATTTGACTTTAAGATCTGTGTTTAAAAAAACGTTAATCCTATTTGTATTTGTTAAGTGTGAATGCTATTGCTAAAATGTATATAATGTTGTGTTTATAAAATTGTATTTTAAAAACTGTAAAATAAAATATTTTATAGTCATATTTTACAACAAAAGTTGTTTATATGAATTTTGGAAATCAGTTGCAAGGTTTGGTCCCCATTGGTTCCATTGAAGTCAATAGAACAAGTCTTGGACCCAGTCTGGTGGTCTTTTAATGGGAATTTTTGTGTTGATGTCGGCAATCTTTAGATCAGGTCCTGTGTCTGTAAGGGCTGGCATGTATTTATTTTGCAGGATCAAGATTTTAGGTATAGTATGCTATGAATAGATTTTTATAAACCATCAGAACTAAAACACTTAATATAGAAGTAGTGAATCCACGGATCAAAATCTGTGCTTCTCTGAGTCAGGTGCATTGTCATTATGTCAATTGAACCAGTGTATAGAAGGGATGAATATGGCCCACTAATAACATCTGGAAAAGTGAAACAATAATTTTAAAATAGCTGACTACTTACCTCCTTATTGTCTTTTTGTATGGAATATGTAGTAGAATCACTAAAGAAATAAATAGGCCTGTGGTCAGGATAATGATATAGTAGGTTAATAATATGGTTTTGTAAAATATAATAGTTTGCAATAAAGTTTAACTTAATAGAAATTAATGTTTCTCATATATATATAATTATACATGTTGGAGTGGACCCACAGACTGCAGGCGATATGCACTAGATCGGCCCTGTGTGCTGTATGCAATGTGCAGGGCCAGGGCAGACATGTATCACACACAGTGTGCAGGGCCAGCCCAGGATGCGCATTGCATGCAGTACCTGCTCTGGCCAGTCTGGGACACATGTTGCACATGGCACATGCTCCAGCTGATCCAGGACTCTTCCCACTGCACATGGTGTCTGCTCTAGCTCATCTGGGATGCCCATTACATACAGCACCTGCACCAGCCCAGCCTCGCACACTGGATCTGACATGTGGGACTAGTCTACATGCCCAATCTGGCTTGTACCTGTCCCATGCCATTCACCAGCCTGCAGACCAGTCCCAGGACACTCTGCAAGCTGAATGAGTTTGATGCCTCTGACCTACTGGCAGGATTTAGAAGGAAATTTGGATTTGAGCATGCAGTCTGTCATGTAGTAAGTACATTGACTTAATTACATAGTAAAAGTGGAATAGGCACACGAAGAAAAGCTCTACTACACATTGATACCTCAAATTCAGATTTACTTTGTGAAAAATACGTATTAGCTTTGGTACATGGGAAAGCTACTACTGAAATGCCCAGTGTGTCCTCTCTCCTTGTCAGCATTCTTCTGCTGTAGCTGCCAGCCCAAACTAGCTCTCCCAGCACCTTTTGGGCTAGGCACTGTGATAGGACCTACTATGCACATGTGCCTGCTCCTGATTACTAAATAAATTTACTTCACATTAATTGTATTGTGTGTTTGCCTTCATCTCCAAGTTGGGGCTAGTTGTGCCGAGGGGCTTATGCCCTGTGACATTCAGGCCACTGCCATTAAAAACAGGAAGGTGTGATGGGATCTGATGCATGATCCCAACAGTTGTACCTCCTGCTATGCCACGTGCAGCGTGGGATCACAGGATTGTGGGATCGAGCATCAGATCACATCACACTAGGCTGGTGCTAGGAGAACCTGGGATGATGATCCTAGGCTCCCCTGTGCACTGGCAATCTTTGCTCCTGTGGGTGGGAGCCACATCAGCTGACAGAGCTCCCAGCCATGGGAGTGCTCCTGCAGCTGGGAGCTCTAAACATTGAAGGCACTCCCAGCTGCAGGGATACAGGGTGCATCTGCCCACCCTGCAGTGGCTGGGAGCCCCAGCAGCGATTGGCGCACCCAGCTCTGGCAGGGGCACCCTGTGCTCCTGAAACTGGGAGCTTTGTTGGCTTATGAGGACTCCTATCTGGGGGAGCTCACTGGGGACCCCAATGGGCTGACCCCCACTCAGGAGCACAGAGGCTGGGACCACTGACCCCAGGTTGGATTACAGGTGTGATGGGAGCCAGCCACAAAGTGCGGCACTGATTCAGAATTTCCTCCTGCCATGAATTATATATTAACCCTACTTCACAGAAGCAGGAGATTGGCTGCCGTGGCCCACCTGCTTCACCTGTAGCAGGTTATGGCATTGGGTTTGTGTTGTGTCAGGGTTGAGGATGGTTTTATGTGGTGAGATTATGGCTGTATAGAATGGATTGGACAAGGCTGATTCTGCCAGTGGGGGGAGCTAGATGACCCCCAGAGGTCCCTGCCAGCCGTGCTGCGCTGTGGTTTCCCTGGCTCTGGAGGGGGCGGGTGGCCAGGTCCTGACTTGAGAGGTGATTAACCCCTTAATGATAGCTCAGGGGGTGCTGTGTGGCAGGGGCCTGGGTGCAGGGGCCTGGCTCCTGCAGTAGAACAGCCCCAGGCACCAGGGAGAGGGAAGCAGAGGAGTAGTGTAGTGACCCCTTTCCCTCCCCCTGCCCCACCCTGGGAAGCCCTGCTGTATGAGGTCCCCAAGGTGACAAGTAACCTTCCCCTCCCTGCCCCATCAGTACCTCTTCCAGCTCCCCCTGGCCCCCTGCTGCAGGCTTTGCATACATGAAGGGCTGGACTTTGTGCCTCTGTGTGCATGCAAAAAGCCCAAGTGTGTGTGTGTGTGTGTGTGTGTGTGTGTGTGTGTGTGTAAAACCCTGTCCCGTGTGGGTAAAACCCAGCCGTGTGTGTGTGAAACCTGGTCCTTTCTGTGTGTCCGTGTGTGAAACGGCCCCATGTGTGGGCATATGTGTATGCGTGTGCAAAACCTGGTTCTGTGTGTGTATGCACACACATGCGCATGTTAATCCTATCCCTGCATACATTTGTGTTGGAGTCAGGTTCTCGTGCCTGACCCTGCCCAGTTTGCAAGGCAGAGCTGTCCATGACAAGAGGGTGCAGATCTTGCTTTTTGCCAATATGCTTGTATTTATTCTTTGGCTCTCAAAGAAGCATTTCTGTGAGCTCCTTTCCCTTTCCTCTTTCCTATCCTGCAGCCTTTGAATGAAACCTACTTTTGGACTTTAAATCCATCCACCAGCCCTGACATTTGTGCTTTCCAGTTGTTCCCCTGTCCCCAAATCCTCCTTTATGTATTAACAGTCACCCTTCTGGCTTCTGTGGGGCTCTCCCTCTCGTCTTCTGCTGAGTGAAAGGCCCACAGAGACTGATTAAATCTGCAGTGCAGATGGATGGACTGTCACACTCAGCTGGAGCCCAGTGATGCTATGGATCCCTTTAGCTCAGTGATTTTCAGGTAGGGTGCCCCAAGGTCCTTTGAAGAGTGCTGTAAGGTGTGAGGAGATAAGCCAGTAAACCACAAGCTTGGGTTTATCCTTCACTAGCCATTTCCTTACCATACACGTGTTGTCTGGATCCTCTGCAAGAAGGTAAGCACTGTAACAAAATACTCTTGAAATGGGGTGCTGCTTAGTTCACAAAAGGGGGTTATGAAAGGGTGCCCTGAGTCTAAAAAGTTTTTAGAAACGCTGCTTTAGTGTGTGCCATCCTGCCCTACTTTTTGCCATTAGGAACCTAAAAGTGCCTGAGTCACTTCTGCACCTGGCATTTAGGCTTGTAAGTCACAGAGATGCTGTTTGAAAAATGTACCCAAGCTTGTGGGTACATAAAGGCAATGGTGGTAGCGTAACAGTAAGAAAAAAAGTTAGCATAGAAAAGCTTCCTGGCTGTGTGCTCTAGGCATGTATCTTGCTTTCAAGTCCTTTTAAAAATTATAGTTCTGAATAACCAGCCTAGCTGATGCAAAAAGACACTTGTCAATGTAGAATAACAAGGAGGGCATTTTGTGCTATATGCAAACCAAGATGCCTTTTTCTAGAGGTGAAATTGGTAATAATACAGCTTAAATCTCATGGGCAAATATATACACTTATTGCATAATGTTCCATTGCAGTTTGGTTACTATGATCACAGGAATGCCAGTTTGTCATAAAGAATACTGCCGCGTCACAGACACAATCAGCAAAATTCCACTGAACGAAACACACCATGCGCCTGCTCCGACTTGCTTTTTAAAACGTAGATTTGAAATGGCTAAATCTTGGGAACAGTGCAGCATGATGGTTCTGTGAAGGTTCATGCAGTAGGTGTACATACTTGCAGCCAGTCTCTTTTGTCATCAGACTGTGCATTTCTCACTTCATACTCCCTTGAGGGGAAGGAGGATGCCACGGAAAAAAAGGAAATCACCAGAAGTGCAAAATTGGCAGGGGCCTAATAAATACAATTTGAAGTTAAGTACTGGTAACTGGTGGGATGGAGCCAAAGGTTTTGGTACCCCCACTGCAACTCCTTATTCTCCTTCGTGCCAGGCAACTCCCACTGACCCTGCTTTTGGAAATGGTGATTCACTGGGGATCTCGTGGAAAACATTTCTGTCTACACTAAGATCCATGGATGAAAGGTTGGAAATTAAGATTTATGTGCATGTTAAAACTGAACCTTTTATTGAGTCATGACAGGAAAGTTTTCAAAAGATAACTAATCTTCAGATGACATTTATGTGGCAAGGTATGTGATACTTGGAAAGGGAGGTTGAAAGCCTTGATAACATGCCTGGAATATTAATTTAAAACGTATTAAAAATGAGAGTGGAAAACAATAGTAGGGTGGATACATGTCCTGGATATGCAGAATGTTTTGGAAGTTGTAAAAAGGCTTGCAGTACCTATGTACTTCTGAAAAGTATTTTCACACTGAAGCTAAAACCTTCTCTTTGAGTCCAACACTTATTTGCATTGCTATAATTTTTATCTATTGTGCAGGGCTTTATTTGGCATATTCCAGGTTTATACTGCTTTAAGAACTCCCAATGACTTCAATGGGAGATGTCCTCTCTAAACAGATACACAATGAAGATCTCTGGCACATTTTGCCTCTGGACACAAGGTTTTGTCCTAACTCTGTATACGGAAAGAATATTTTACCTTCCTGAACTTGACACACATGCTTGGAACATAGGATGGAAAAATAAAACAGTCGCAAGCAGATTATTTTGAAATACTACATTGATGGGTATGGGAAGAGAATCTAGAGAGAGGTGATGACTTCTAATGACACATGGGGTTTTCTTAAAATGAGAGAAAAGTTTAACCAGTGCCATAATGTTATCCTCATCCTGGCTCTCCAGTGCTCTGTACAGGGATAAGTAACTTGCCAGAATAAATGATGAACTTGAATAAAAAAGAAAAGAAACCCCAAGTTAAACTAATAAGCAATTTTGTCTACATACAGCTACATTATTACTAATAAAACTGCATATAGATATCTGCCTTTGTGGCAAGTTTGTTATAAATTATTGAAATTAAGCAGCATGATAGGTAGATATATAACATGCCATGGCAATAAACACCTTCACAGTAATAAATACTATTATTTAACATTACACAATGATTGTCATTATAATTTTTTATTTCTA